CGAGAAACCTAGTCTTTGGGAGTTGGTGAAAGTCCCCTTACTCAAGGCTGGAGTGGGTAAAGTCATAGTGACTACTCGGAATGAATGTGTTGCCAGAATCATGCAGACGATGGAGCCTTTGAGCTTGAACATCTTATCATTCGACAAATGCTGGATGTTGTTCGAGAAGCTTGCCTTGGAAAGCTTAGAATCCAGCAGCAGGCATAACAATTTGGTGGACATCGGTCGGAAGATCGTCGAGAAGTGCAAAGGCTTGCCGTTGGCGGTGAAGGTAATTGCACGTGCTCTGAGTTACGAAGATGATGAAGGGAAATGGATGGATATCTTGGAAAGCGAGCTGTGGGAATCAGTCGATGCAAACTTGGAGATCTTACCGGCTCTTAAAATAAGCTACGATTGCTTGCCAATAGATCTAAAGAGGTGCTTCCGGTACCTGTCCTTATTTCCCAAAGACACGGTTTTATACGAGAGATACATTGTCCATTTATGGATGTCGCAAGGTCTTCTTCGGCCTCCAAGAAGCAAGCAAGCAGAGGATATAGGCAGTGATTACGTCAGAAACTTGGTGGAAAGGTCAATTTTGCAGATCAAGGGGATACGTACAGGAGGACATGCCTTGGACCCCGAGGAAGAGAAAGAGTTAGTGATGCATGATCTTGTTCACGATCTAGCACAGTCTGTTGCGCAGGGGGAATCCCTAAGCATAGCGGCTAACAAACTCGCAAGCATATTTCAGCGGGATGGCGACAAACTTCAGAAGGTTCGCCACTTATATCTGGTTTTTGACGACCGGATGGCACCCAGAGACTTGGAGGCTTTGCTGAAGCTAAAACGTCTCCGGACTCTGATAACTGCCGTACCACATTTTATGGAAGCGTATACTTTTGAGTTCATCGATGAATTGTTCCACAACTTGAAATACCTACGAGCTTTGGACTTCAGCCACACCAACATCGCAGGGCTGCCTGATTCAATCGGCGACCTCAAACTACTACGCTACCTCTCCATCGAAGGTAATGAGACCGACAGTCTTCCAGAATCCATATGCAGCCTCTACAATTTGCAGATTCTGAATGTGACTGCTACATTTGATCTCAAGGAACTACCAAGCGGCATAGTAAACTTGCCAAATATAAGGCATCTCATGCTAAATGAAAGTGGCGTCGCTATCCCTCGTGGCCTTGGAAAGTTGACGAACTTGCAAACGCTAGACTGCATCGCATTGAGCCCGACTAGTTGGCGTTACGAGATAGAGGAATTGAAGGGTTTAGTGAATCATAGAGGAAAACTCATCATTTACAATCTCAGGTATGTGGATAAGTATGTTGCTCAAACAGAAACACCTCTGAAGACAAAAGATCGTATCGAGTTTTTGACACTGGGCTGGTATGAAGACGACCCTTATGAACACGAAGGCATGGACGACGACACGACAAAGCAGGTTCTCGAATGCTTCCGCCCACATCCTAACCTAAAACAGCTTATAATATACGCTTACGGTGGTGCCAGATTTACAACATGGGTGGGGGATTCATCCTTCTCCAAACTAGTGAATATAGAGATGGCTATATGCTGGAAATGCAATCTGCTTCCACCGTTGGGTCAACTGCCTTCTCTTAGAGTTCTTTCTATATATGATTTCCCCGGTCTCCAACGTATTGGGCGTGAGTTTTGTGGTGTTGGTAGTGCGACAAAGGGGTTCCCCTCTCTGGAGACCTTGACGTTCTCATGTATATCCAATTGTGAAGAGTGGGATGGAGTGGAGGCTGACGACTTTCCTTGTCTTCTCCAACTTACAATCGATCGTTGTCCTAAATTGAGGATTTTTCCTCGGCACCCATTTTCCTCGCTGAGGAAATTAGAATTAAGTCAGTTTGGTGACATCTCCGACGATGCTCCCTACGTTTCATTTGACGACGACACGCGTGTTTCATCCTACCCCCCACCAGTATTGGCTCGGTATTTATCATTTCGAGGCTTTCACAGCTTTCTTGTAGATATGGATCTGCCTTCACTCGAGGAGTTGAAGATATCACAGTGCTCAAAGTTAACGTGTGTCACGGGACTTACCAACCTCACCTCCCTGCATTCTTTGACCATAGATGGTTGTCCGTATCTACAGTTTTCTCCGACAGAGAGGTTGTCGTCCACTCTCCAGCATCTGAAAATTCGGAACAGTCCTTGGGTTAAGCAATGGGAGGAGGCAAATCAAGACACCTCAATTTTTTCAAACACCAGATGATCCAATGGCGGAATTGGTTCTCTTTCTTCACCCATCAGAGTCTTCATTCTTGGGTGGCCAAATTGAAAATGATCAACCGAGGTCACCTGACTACAATCGCACGATTGAGCCTCTGGCTCAAGCTCCAACAGGTATGACCTCAGTGCTGGATGTTTTTTCTTACTGTTTGTCATTTTTCCTTGCGCCATTGTTTATAATTGCACTGATGCTGATGAAACTGTAGTTTCTGGCTGGCTGGCGTTTGGGCATATTTCTCAAATGTTAGTATAAAGAAATGTTGCAGGTTTTTTTGTGACTAGTTATACTCGTGTCCTTCTCTTTGGTTTGGTTAACTACATTGCTCTTGTGGTGGTCATTGCAGCTCATTCCTTAACTTCAAACTGTAGAAGCCAATTCCAGCTTTCAGCAGAAATATAATTGTTTGCCAGTGGCAGACGAGTTTATCTGATTCATCCCATCCCCCAACAACACTATTCAACTCGGTATCACTCAGCCTCCGATGTTGAATATCAAGTGTCTAATTCTGAAGAAACCATGACGAGGAGACAGGAAAGCGGATGCTTGCTCCAACCCCCAAAATGTGCAGAGCAAACCTTCTATCGATGCTGGGGTTTCGAATATCGAAAGTTCCAAGTACTGGATTTACATTACAGAATCAAGTGTTTGATTTTGTATTCTCTATTTCCCTCTCAAATCATTTGATACCAATCAAGTGCTTTTACACTGATCGAGTCTAATGATATGGACATTTATTTGCAAATTTGATGCTATCGAGTCCGCTTTGTTTAAGCGATAGAAGCAACAACCTATGCCTGTGGTTATGGCCATTGAGGGCACAACTCCATATTTCCTATATGCTCGTGGTTGTGACCATCGAAGCTATGAAAGCAATTTTAGCAGCTTTTGCATGTGGTTAGTAATTGATATATATATATAGATGAGGAGGGTTAGCTGTCTTTCATGGATTAAGATGTTATATTGGTTTTCTTGTAAGGAATTACGATGGATTTAAGGGAGCATGATGAGATTTTGTATAACAATTATAAATTATTGATTTTAATATTTATTTTTCATTTTGTTGTGAGTCGATATGATATGACCAAATTACTTGATGATAATATGCAGAAGAAGGGTTTTCTAGGAGTTAAATTGAATCATAATGATTTAAGCGGAGGGGACCATACGGAGGTATTAATTTTATTCTACATAACATAACGAGGGTGCTAATTATATTTTTTTGTTGACTTCAACTTGCCGTCAACGGGAACGGATCCGAACAGCTCGACCCGGTCAAACTTGCCGTGCGAGGGATCGGGTGGAGGACGACTGCTCATCGCCCCCTTCGAGGCACTCCAGAGGCGCTATCACGGTCGCGATTCTCCCCCTCGCCGAGGCCTCCCCCTTCCCCTTTCTTTGTCGAGCCCTCGCCATCCCGTCTCCTTCCTGCGGCCCACGCCGGGAACGTCAGCGAGAGCGTCCGGAGGAAGAACGAGGGCCACCGGTCCGACTTCCTCTGTTTTTTCTACTCCGTGTAGGCTTGGGTATTGGCATTAATTTTGCTGTCTTTGAAGTGGTGGCAAATTTCAACGTATCTCCCAAAAGATTTTGGTGTGCATATTTCACTGCCTCCGATCTTGACCTCGGAATGTGATAAGATCACGCATAGACTAGAAACCCATCGGAAAGAGTGAATAGGCAGAGTAAGGTGCAAGGAAGAAGAATGGCCGGAGGCATCGCTTCTTCTATCATCATGTGGACGGTGGACAAGCTACGTGCCCTGGCAACAACAGCAGCTTCGTCATCGGCGGAGCCTCGGAAGGAAGTCGAAGAAGAGCTAAGGAAGCTGCAGAGGACGATGTTGAGGATCCAAGCCGAGCTTGATGACTCGGAGGAGCAGGATATAAGAGATGAGCCTGTAAGGCTATGGTTGAGTGAGCTCAAGGATGTCGCTTGTGACGCTCAAGACGCGGTGGAGGAGTACGAATACCAAGTGCTGCGCGCCGAAGCAGAAAGCAGATCGAGAGGTGGCGGCCGCCACAAAGGCAAGCATGTGGAGGTATGCGACTACTCTATCTCCGCTCCTTCAAGGATTTCATTTCCAGACGATTTAGCAAGTAAAGTCAAGGAGATAAGGGGCAGGTTTGATGAGATCACCAGTGACCGGAAAGCCCTCCAATTGGGAAAGAAAA